GGTCGAGGTATTACTGAGGGCGAGCCGGCCCTAACCCTAACTAAGCCGGCACTAAGGTGCGAAGAAGTTAAAGCGGGCTCTATCACTAGTAAATGTATAATACTTACGTTAATTCATTAATTTCCATAGAAGTTCTGGGTTATCTATACTAATGTAATAAAGCGTAAACACACTACTTCTTGGCGTAGGATGTCAGCAATCACAGCATATTTTTGAATAATTCTCTCTTTAAACCTTACACTTACGACACGCTTTAGGCTTTTGTTTTTACTGTATTAAACTTAGGAGGTAATTAAATGAAACAAAACCCTCATATGGGAAAGGGACATAGCGGTTTTCGCGGAACTTTCTGCCCCGCACAGACGCGTTGTGGAACGGTCTGTCCTCGGCGGTATTCCCAAACCAATACGACTTAGGGTCCTTCAAGAAGCGAGCCTATCATTTCCTCAAAGGCCGGAAACGCATCTGTAGTTCCTCTGGTGTTGCGGATGTCCATGGGCGTCGTTGACCACCTTGGTGTTCACGCCGCTCGTTTGCCCCCTTTTACTATAAAAAAAAGCTACCAACATTAAGGAAGCAAGGTTATTATGGTAATGGTGATTTTGACATTAGCATTTGAGAAATTGACAAAATTAGACAACAAAATATAGATTTTATAATTTCATGCCGATGAAGTCACACGGAGAAAGCCAGTTATTTGTAAATATTTTTTTATAAATTAACCGTAAAGCTGTCGGAACATCTATAAGAACATTATTGTTGTCTCTCTCTTGTTTAAAGAGAATGATAAAGATGGCAGTAATTTATTTTGTATTCCAGAGGGAAATAATAAGAAACAAGAGCACAGAGGGTCTGCCGTTCCCCATCATATTCTCCGGCGCCATTGTAACCTTCATGTGGCTGCTCTATGGCATCATCTTGAAGAACAAGTTCCTCGTTGTAAGTATTCACGCAGACAAAATCACAGACTAATTCTCGGTATTGGTATGCAATCTTAAATATTCTGCACATTTTGTTACAAGAGAGAGAAGGAACGAAGTATATGCACGTGGTGCGAAAGAGATATAATATCTAAAATAAATGGATAAAGTAAGGCGTATAAATAATTCAGATGTTTTGATATTATTAGCCACAAGTTTGTCTATAAAATGACTAAACCCGTATCTATGAACACATAAAGAAATAAAAAATTTTTACATGCGTTTTAAAAATGTTCAATTTTAACGTGTTAGATAACTTGATAAACGATAAGAGATGATTAATCGACTACTTAATGTTTATTTAAGGTGATTTGCATTTTCCTCTACAACATACCCACTGACCTTTATAAATAGACAGGCTATAACTGCGGGAGTTTAAATTGTCACCATGTTGGCTCTGATGGTTGCAGTTTATTATGCTGAAGCAGTTTTGAACTAATAGTGATAGACTTGTGTTGTGATTATTAACATCAAAAGGCATATAATCGGAAAAAACTATCCATTTATACAGATCAGTGGATATACTTATTATGATTAAAATGTCCCACTAATTATTGGCTAATGGTGTGTAGTTTAAAAGAGAATTTGTTCCAGATTCAAAATGTAGTCGCTGTAATTCTGTGCTCCATACAACTAGCACTGTTCGTCATATATCCATCCAAACCTGCCGCCAAAGAAAAGGTTAAGGCGAAGGCGAAGAAGGCTGATTAAAAGGTTAATTAGGATATAATATAATGTACAATAGCAACACTGGCCTGCAATTTACTACAAAATTGGAGGGAAATTCATAACCTCAAATGTCATTTCGTATGACAGTTCCTTATTACATGTTATTTTATTTAAAATCTATGCATCTTATGTTGTGAGTGTTTGTTTTAAGATTTATTATTGAAGTATTTAAATAGTTGATTTTTGAATAGTCGAAATGTAATTAACTTATTAAAACTTTCGTGAGACATTATACTATATTATTTATAACACGGCTAAAACTCACGTGGGAACTTTCGGTGTAGGCAC